TTCATAATGTAACTCATGTATGTCCCAGGAATATGCATGTACATCACATGAATGTTCCAGGTATATTCTGGGAATATCATTTTGCTATGTGGGTTGTAAAAGGTGTTAACAATGTGGACTTTTGTTTTTCAAATGGAAGTAGCTGTATATTAATACGTCATTAGATAGACAATTTACAAGGTTACAAATTTGCATTTACACTTTAAGCTGTGAAATTAACCGTTTTCAAATTATAAATTATTTCATTTAAAATATTCAAAAAGTTGTTACATTTTGTACAAAATTTGATGATACTTGACATAATCAATGAATAAAAGTGCAACGTTTTATAAAATGCATGGAATTTCATAGCAAAAAATGCAATAAAACTGCATACGTCCATAAAAATTAAAATAGAAAATTATATCTACAGTGATATTTTAAAATAAATGTTCAATATGATTATCGTTAACATTTAAGCAACTATTAATATCTACGTTTTTGAACTGAATCGCTAACGCAGTTTAAAGCAATGTTGTTAAAGCTTCGAAAAACAGTTGTGATTCGTTCCTTCCTGTCATCTTTTGTAGTTGGAGTTATTTTATAAATTTCGTTTTTGACGTAAGCCCATAAAAAAAATCCATTTTTGTCAAATCGGGTAAACGAGGTGGCCACTGAACAGGCCCACTTCTGCCTCTCAGGAAATTCATTATTTAGGTACTCATGAATTTGAGCTGTATGGTGAACTGGAGCTCGCATAATGTAAATACCACATTATTTTTTTAATATAATTAGGTAAATGATCAATTAAACGTGGCAATTCAAATTTTGACACTCATTTATTGACTTCCATAGCTACCTTACAAAATGTAGCAACTTTCTGAAATTTTTAAATAAAATAAATTATAATTTGAAAACCGTTGATTTCAAAGCTTAAAGTGTAAATGCAAATTTATAACTTTGTAAATTGTCTATCTAATGACGTATTAATTTACAGGTACTTCCATTTGAAAAACAAAAGGTATAGCGTCAAAAAAATTTTGGTCCGAAATCCACATATTTATGTGTATCGTATTTTGGTTCAATAGAATTCTTAACGGATCTGTGGTGATTAAAACAACGTATTTTTTGTACAATTTCTAAAATTACTTTTTAGATACCTTGTTTTTAACCAAATTTTTACTAAAATGGCGATAATCTGATAACGTCACAAGTAAGAAAAAAACAATTTTTGCTGCATATGCAGAGCTTCAAGCTGCATTCCATGAACTAATGAAAAATGGGTTGTTCTATTTAAAAAAATACACTTTGGTCTTGCCTCGCTTTTTGAGACGCTCTGTATCATATAAGATATTTTTAAAATGTGCGCACTTTATGCGTCAACAACTTTTATATGAAACTATTTTTCGAAAGAGTTTTCGCAGAACATTTTTACTTTCAACACTGTTCAATGTTCTGCATTAGATGTGCAAAAAAGATTAAAAGATACGACGATAATATTAACTGCAAAACTGGTTGTAAGCTTGATTTTCACATTGCATGCGAAAAACTTAGTGAGAAGGAATACACAGACTTCAA